CTGATGGTTGAATTTTCCTAAAATTAAACGAGCATACTTTAATTTGTTATTAAATTTCATTTTACCTGTCGGGTTCGATTTCTGTTGGGGACGCTGATGATGATGAGGCCGCTGCTGAAACTACTATTACCACTAATACTACTAATAATGACGAGGAGGATGATGATGATGGTGTGGTGGTATTGAGGTTAACACTGCAGCCCATTCCAAACCGGTCGGGATTAGTATAACTTTTAAGAGGCAAGATTGAGTGAAATTTAGCGGAAACATGCGGCTTGTTGATATGATTGTAGAGAAATTTATTTGCGGATGCGGCTTAGGTTGAGTGGAATTGTGATTCGAGATTTACTGAATATTTTTAAAGCCCACTTGCTCTGGATACATCTTTGCCTTTGTCTGCATTTGAGTAAGAGTGAGTTTACATGTTTACATGTTTGTTTTTTTCATTTCCTGTCGTTGCTCTGTCTTCTAGACCTTTGACGAGGCCGCATTCAACAAAGGCTTACTGATGAATGTGGCTGTTGTGGAAGCGCTCGCCTTTTTCCCTTTCGACTGCGTCATCTTTCACGACGTCGACCTGATCCCCGAGAGCCGGGACACCTCGTACCGCTGCCCCGCCTATCCACGCCACAACAGCGTCAGCGTCGACACGTTCGGATACCAGTAAGGCGATTGACGACCGACTGTTGCCGTCCGCCTTGCCACGCCTCGGCTTATGGCGCCCATTTTGCGCAAAGAGTTGGTCGTTCTGGCAACCGGCGAGTGTTGTTCGAGGCCAGCCTGAGGCCAGTGCCGTTGAAAATTGACCAAACGCAAGTTGACAAGTGGTTTGATCTCATTTTGCCAACTTGATCTGGTTGTCAAGGCGACCTAGTCGGAGGCATATTGTCCCAAGTCCTCTGCTGCAGTCGCCATTGTCGGAGTCCACGGTCCGCGGCCACATGTTGGGAATTATCAAAATGCCTGCAGCAAAAAACTTCGCGCAAGATTTGTTCAACTTGTTTGCCTTGACAACACGAATAAGTTGTGGAAACGAGGTCAAACCACTTTTATGCGTGGATCACGAGTGGACTGATACCGAGACAGAGGCCAAATATTCTTGGTCTTCATATCAAACACAAGTTTATCTTGTGTCGTGCGGCCTGTGGGACAAAAATTGCCAAATATGCTCATTGCTGAGGCTTATTTGTGTCTATATTGTTGGGCTCTGGCCTACAAGTGGCCAACCAAGCAATTTCAAGCCGTGCAGACGATCCAATTTGCTCTTTGAGATGCCAAGAAAAGCGTTTTTTAGATTATTTTCTTAATCGACAATTGCCGAGCTCATTTCTTCTTCAACCAAAAAGATTTTTGATGAATAGATTCGCCTGGCTCGGTATCACAGCCAGAATCTGACCGTTGTGTGTCTCTATCCAAACAGTCCTGTCGACGGTTCCGGTGGACATGTGCCACACTTTTGTTTGCTATTTTGCCATCGTACCGTCTTTCTAAGAAGATGAGTGGATGAGTGAAAAAGTGGAGAAGGCAAACAGTCTTTAAAGAAACCCAGACACTTTCTTCGGTTATGCCTCCTTGTAAAAAGAAATATGACCCATTGTCGACCTACGGCAACTACCAGTTTTCCAATCAATATGACCATGTTGCGAAAACAAGGTCAAACAACTTCGATATCTATTTGTGCCTAATCATCTTCATTCTTTAGTTGAGTAGATATAAGAAGTAAGAGGGTGGGCAGTCTTAGAAAGACCAGATATTTTCCCAAATGACATTCTGTCATGGGATTGTAGAAAAAGCAAATTTTTAATTGCTATAGCTATCCATTTCAATAGTTATTTTTTGTGTATACTTGGGTTTTCGAGACTACTACTAGATCATATATATGCGGTGATGAATAGGGTGAATATATCTCATATATATATATATATGCTTTATTGTTAGCTGTAAAATCTACTTATACACAAAAAATATACCATGTAGCGAATAGATATGGCAAATTCCACTTGTGTGCCAACCCACAAATTTGTGGTTCGACATTGAATCTAATCAAAGCAAGCAGTACCACAACATTTATGGGTTGGCACACAAGAGACTAAGACATGGGAAGTCATAGACTTGGTATTAGAGATAGAAAAAGGATAGAAAGAGTGGAAACTAGAGGTAGTCGGCTAACAATAATCGTGATCCAAGGATCACTTCTATGATCAAACACGACTATTTTTTTTTAGCAAAATAGCTTTAGTCTCCACCGTGTCTTTCATATTTCTGTCTGTGATACCATGTCCATCACTTCCTACGTCCTAGTCTCTTGTGTGACAACCCACAAATGTTGTGGTTCTTCTTGTTTCGATTAGGCTCACTGAAGACGTTCCCTCTTTGCTTCTGATTCTTCCTTTCTCATCCCCCTGCGATCTCTTT